ACAGTACAGTTCAGTCCAGTCCAGTCCAGTCCAGTACAGTACAGTACAGTCCAGTACAGTACAGTACAGTCCAGTACAGTACAGTACAGTACAGTCAAACTGACTTTTCTTCTCAGTCCTGAGCTACAGCTAGCTTCTTAGCGTGGGAGACCAAACGTCACCTGGTTCAAACCCAAACAGTTCCTCGTCGCTGCCGATGGTCCGGACGGGACTGATCTGGGAAAACGTGTGTGTGTGTGTCATCGTTTGTGTGGACAGAGGAAGGACAGGAATGTAGACGTGTGTAAATACATCTGTTTATCAGCAGCAGTTCTTAAATGTTTCCCCAGGAAGTGGCACTTGTGTGTGTGTGTGTGTGTGTGTGTGTGTGCGCGCGCCTTTAATGTTGGCTTAAGATGTCTCACTGCAGGGACCAGGGAGGACACACGCTCCGCTGCAAATGGAAAGACACTGACCTCATGTTGTCTTTCACAGACACACATGGAGGGAAAGAATCGCAGTCTCCTCCTGCCCTGCCCTCCCCTCAGACTATGAGAATCATTTGGCGGGAAATAGGTCAAACAGGTCACACACACACACACACGTTGCTACTGCTGAGTCTGGATGCTCTCTGACTTGGACGACTTTTCAGCTTTGTAATTGTTTTCCAGCAGACGACAGCTTCGCCCAGAACTCTGTCAGCTTTCCATTCACTGACGCAGACTCAGACTTGGACTTGGACTCGACTTGGACTCGGACTTGGACGTTGGCTAACAACCCACAACAGTCAGCCAGAGAGGCTGGAGATAAAGGTCTGATCCTCTAACCTCCAGGTCAGGGGTCACCAAGAACCCCAGGGGTCTTCAACCCGTGGCTACCGTCACCTCATTCAGCCCACAGTTATTCTCCGCCTCCTGACGTATGAACGCTATAGGAACAACTCCACTGTATGAGGATGGTGGGGGGGTCAGGGGTCGGGGGGGGGGGTTTGTCCAGGATGAGGTTTGAACCACATGTTTAAGTAGAAAGCAGAGTAAAGGTTTTTTCGGTTCCGTCTGTGTCATAATGACAGGATGACCTCACAGCTCGGCCGCTTTCTTCTTCTTCTTCTTCTTCCTAATCTTGGGGTCAGTTCTGCAGAGGGAGGTGAACACGCGAGAGACGCCCCTCAAACGCCGTGGACTCCTGCTGATGTAGGACTGTGCAGCGAGGAGGAAGTGGTCGACACACGGCAGCCCACGCCAAACCTCCACGGAAACATATGGACACGACTGGTGTCAGGAAGAACGAGGCCGAGCCCAGTGTGTGTGTGTGTGTGTGTGTGTGTGATGCCAGTAAAAAAATCACATCTACAACATCATAGTTTATCCTCCAACCAAACATGTGACAACAGGCTGTTATCATCATCCAAAAACACACTCTCTCTCTCTCTCTGTCTCTCTCTGTCTCTCTCTCTCTCTCTGTCTCTCTCTCTCTCTCTCTCTGATCCTCCTCCGTCGTGATCTTCTGTGTGAACATGCACAAACTGGTCTGTTTGAAACTCAAACTCCAGACTCTAGAGTCAAATGTCTGCAGTGAAACTCTTATTTCGAGGACGACAAACGCCTGGTGTCTGTGAGCCAGGTGTCTGTGAACCAGGTGTCTGTGAGCCAGGTGTCTGTGAACCAGGTGTCTGTGAGCCAGGTGTCTGTGGGCCAGGTGTCTGTGAGCCAGGTGTCTGTGAACCAGGTGTCTGTGAGCCAGGTGTCTGTGAACCAGGTGTCTGTGAGCCAGGTGTCTGTGAACCAGGTGTCTGTGAGCCAGGTGTCTGTGGGCTTCGTCTTTTTACAGACACGTTGGTGAGGGTCGGTGTCACGTCAACCTCCTCCCTCTGTTTTTATGACGGTCCACATATGTGTGTGTGTGTGTGTGTGTGTGTGATCCATCCCAGTCCCAGTTTGCACCTGGCGTTCTGCTCATATAACCGTAGTTGGTTTAATGAACCTCAAATCCACCGAGGCTGAAACACTGATATGTCGCCATAGCAACCGTGTAACTTGGCTGTCCTTCGTTGTAAAAAAACAAAAAAAAAAAACAGTATTTGGAGCAACATCCACTTTTGATTGTCTGACATCCCTGTGTCGGTTTATCAGGACCTCGCAACATACTCATACATATATACATATACTGTATATATGTATATATGTATGTATATACATGTATATATTTATATATATACATATATATTAACTATATTAACAGAGTCTAGGTCTTCACTGGACATTATCATTTCTTCATTTATACATGTATATATTTATATATATTATATGTGCTGGTGGCACATATATATATGTGACTTTTTTCCAACCCAAAACAAAGGAACCTGAAGTATTTAACTGTTTCTCCTGTCATTTCACGGTGGCTTCGTTTATTACAAACCATAAGGAATGGTTTTTATGTTGCGCAGCGCTTATATGCAATTATATTTTCAAATATATAAATCTTGAGGAGTGAAAATTGTGGCCTCGCAGACGTTGTGGCTTTGGGATAATTGTGAGGATTAGGTTCCTGTTGGAGCATGTTGCTGTTGCCGTGTTGTAGCGAAACTGTTTGTTGAACCTGTTGGATTTCTCCTTTAAACTCTCTCTTTTGTCTTTTCGTGTCCAAATAAACCACAGAGCTGTCGGTGTTTCTGTGGAGGAACCGCGCTTTTCCAGGTCCAAACCTGTGCCCGGTTTCTTGAACCCACTTGGACATGGGAGGTTTGGACTGACTGACTGTGTCTTTGCTGGAGGTCCAAACCCAAAAGCCTGGACATTTTTCTCAGCATGTGCTCCCTCTAACTACATCTTTGGTCGTGGCAAGAACTTTCCCATCTAACCTTCTAAAACCCGACAGCCGACTCCTCTGTTTTATCTAAACACCCAGAGAGTCCGAAAGCTCTGAGAGTGAAGTATGGCATCATCGTGGAGCTGCGGAAAAAACAACACGAGCCGTGGAGTGGTCTGCCCAAGAAAACATGGGAGCTCTCATTTTCACAGACCGGTCGCTCTCCCTACTGAACCACATCTGATCTTTATTCTTTTTTTTTTTTTTTCAAGAGCAGCGCACATAAAACATTTTTCTCAGCTACCCCCGCAGCTGGTACTTTCTCAGGTCTTAAAAGACACAAAAAGTCATCATCTGTTTCCTGCCACCAGGGGCGGCCTGTGTTGGTTGAAGTGTCTGACTCCCGGAGTCGTGGTCGGTGGTTTGCGGTGTTTGTTGTTCCATTCTTTCACCTTGCCTCTTGCCCTCTGTCGTTCCTGTGAGTGGAGCATCGGTGCGTCTTGACCCCCGTCTGAAGTGACCATCAAATGGCAGGGTTCGTCAGTGGCCAGTCAGGAAACTTACATAAAAACATATGTTTCCAACGCACTTACTTTGAAGTCTCATTTGGTCCTTCTGAGGCCTGACCACAGGGGGCGACATTCTTCAACTCCACCACAGAATGTTCCTCAGTGTTTCTTCCTGACACCTCCTCTGTCCAGTATGTTCAGGGTTAGAGATGGACCCTCCTTGGAGGTCTGAGTGAGTGGATCAGTACCAGAGAGTACTGCAGTACCAACCTGATTACCAGGTAAACACTGAGCCTGACATATTTCCTTACATCTTTTTGTCAGTGTTTGCAGCTTGTGTTTCTGTCTACTATAGAGCGCCCCCTCTCTCCCATCCTATTTAAAACTCGGTGTAAACAAAGCAGATACAGTTGCAGCAGTTTTTTGTTTTTTTTTCTCTCCGACCGCGCTCGTCTGCCCAGACCTGGGTCTGTGTACGTGGTGGATGAGTGGGTTTGGACTGTGGTCTGCCAACCAGTGATGAGTTCATTCAGAGAGAAGGAAACTGTCAGTGTGGACGGATAAATATATCTGTCCTGTCTCTGTCTGTCTGTCTGTCTGTCCTTCTTCCCACCGAGGTTGTTTTACTGCCGTCTTTTGGTTTTGGTGGTTTTGCCGTCATTATTTTCACCAGTAAAACTCTGGATCGTGGACCAGTTCCGGGTCTGTGCAGTTAAAGCAACGAGGTTCATGGTTTTTTTCATAACAGCTTCACTGAGTGCAGTCATAAAACCCCGGGTCATGGACCCCAGAGGTTCACATCAGGGTCACATCAGGGTCCACGAGACCAAGGTTTTATTCTCCTCATTTTTCCGAGTTAAAAATGAAACTCAGAGTCAACTGTGTCAGTCAGAAAGTCCTCAGACAGACCAGACAAACTGGTTCAGACAACACCTGGGACCAGTTTCTTCATCCTCATCATCATCATCATCATCATCACCATTATGTCTTTGATTTGATCAGATTTTTATTGAACTCTCATAAAAGAAACTTGCCTTAATACTACTACTACTACTACTACTACTACTACTACTACTACTACTACTACTCCCATTGACACATGCCTGTGTTCCCGTCCGTCAGACCAAGCTTCCTGTTCTGCTCCTGGGTCACTCCTCGGACCTGCGGCCGGGGGAGTTCGTGGTGGCCATCGGCAGCCCGTTCTCCCTGCAGAACACAGTGACCACTGGAATAGTCAGCACCACTCAGCGAGGTGGGAGAGAGCTGGGCCTCCGCAACTCTGACATGGACTACATTCAGACGGATGCCATTATAAATGTAAGAGCAGGAAGTTGAATCAACCCGGAGCAAATAAACATGTTTTTTTTTTACCCCCAGGGAAAATAATTCATGTTGTTTCTTTTCTGACAGTACGGCAACTCTGGAGGACCACTGGTCAACCTGGTGAGAACCCTTCAAGAACAGAACCGGGGCTGTCAACGAGCCGATTAGTCACCATTAATCAATATTGCTAAATATAAACAAACATAAAAACGGTCAGACCAACATCAGCAGGTAGAGGTCACTGTTTCTCACCTGATTATTAATCTGGACTGTTGTGTCAGTCACACTGTCAGTCGTAGACTGACTGACTGTCCTGATCTCAGTCAGACTGGTCTGACACCAGCCAGGGTCACTGACCAGAGGTTGAGGCACCACAGACACTTTAGTACCCATGGTTAGGATCCATATATTCTGGATTATCTTCCCAGATTAATTCAAACGATGAAGTTTCCATCTTGACAGCCCTCAACACAACAACAGATCGCAGATTATATTGGTGATAATCTGGTGATAATCTGAGGTTGGATGTTTCAGGACGGTGAAGTTATCGGGATCAACACGTTGAAAGTGACAGCGGGAATCTCCTTCGCCATTCCTTCAGACAAAATCCGAGAGTTCCTGGCCGAGTCCTACGACAGACAGTCTCGAGGTAGGAGCTGTGACCAAACTCCAAACTCACGACGTTTTTTATTTTATTTTCTGTTTCTCCAGCAGGGGGCACCAACTTGTTATAAACTAATAGCTGATACAGACCTTCTGAATGAAAGTAGTACCGAAAGTAACTTGGAACTGATCCTCAAAGAACAGGAACAGTACCATTTGTGACCCTCTTTTTGAACTTTGAACTGGTGTAAAGTATCTGATGTAAAAACTTTCCAAATCCTGGGTGTAGACCTCGAGCCCCCAGACCAGATTTATTTCTCTCACTCAAGTAGAGAAAAAAGAGACCTGGGGGGAGCAGGGATATTTATTTTCCCAGAATGCTGCAGGCCACGGATGAAGGAGTGTGTTTTTTTGTTCCTCCAGGGAGAGCAGCCGCGAAGAAGAAATACATCGGTGTGAGGATGATGACTCTCACGCCAGCGTAAGTCTTGGATCAGCAGTGAAATTCACGTCTTTAATCTGTGTCTTCGCTAACATCAGGAATCAGACGTTACCACTGGAGGTTAAAAAAACTGCACTTCCCTTTTCCACCTGTAGGCTGGCGAAGGAGCTGAAGACTCGGCACCGTGACTTTCCCGACATCACCTCTGGAGCCTACATCATGGAGGTCATCGCAAAAACACCGGCCGCAATGTGAGGAGAATTTAACTTGAATAATAGGAGAAAAGGCAGCAGTGGCTGATGGGAAAAAAAGTGTTTCATTCATTAATTAGACAGATAGACATGATGAGCTGAATGTCAGAGCTGAGAAAGAAATATCCAGGAGTGGTGGAGAACTAGTTGAGGGTGGTGTAGGACATCTATGAGGAAAGAACAGATGAGTTCAAGGTAGAAGTCAGTGGTGGAGAACTAGTTGAGGGTGGTGAGTTCAAGGTAGAAGTTGGTTTAAAACAGGAATCAGTTTTGGTACAGGTGATGATTAAAGTCACAGTCCGGCTTTTTACATAAAGGTTCTTTCAAATGCAGTCTTTTTTTCCAGAATCTTCGAATGAAATTTCTGTTTTTCTGTGTCAATAATCTTCCTCTGTGACTGGATTGGCAGTCAAAGACTTTTTCCCACTTATTTTGATACAAAAATATACACGAGTGTCAGTTTGAGCCGACCTAATCACACACAGCCAGTGGGGGCAGCAATTCATTTTTATCTTTTATTGCTTTGAGGGAAACTTTGTGTCAGAGTTAGAGAGGAATTACAGTTCTAATGTCTCCTGATTGACGGCCGGTGTCGACACAAGGGTCATGTTCTGACCCGACAGGCATTAGTCTTTGAGACAGTTCTGATTCTTCAGGACTTTGGTGCCAACGTCTCCTCCACCTCTCTCTCTCTGCAGCGCCGCCTACTCTCACAATGCAAATAAACAGAGTAAATCATTTCCTTCCTTTGTTTATATTCTCCGCTCTGACACACACACACGTACAGTCTGAAACACAAGCCTGTAGGCTCAGAGCTAACACCCTCCTGCTCCCACTGCTTGGCCTTCTCTCACAGTAGTCCCCCCCCCACCACCACCTCCACCACAGCCACTGCAGACTCACTGCTGAGCTCAGCTCTTTCCTTCAAACCTCATGCAGCGAGGTTACAGGCTCTGCTGCGGTTTTCTCTCCTCATGCTAACGCCGGCCGCTCCAGAACCGTCTTCATTACGGAGCCCAAGAATCTGAGTTTCACTCATGAAACTAAAAATCAACAGCCCTTTGGTTTGCAATTAAAAGATTTCTGTGGTTCCTCGAACTTTCCACGTGAATTTCCTGATGTTTTAGAGCTCACGTGTTTGTTTTTGTTTTCTGAGAAAAAGAGAGAGAGAGAGCGAGAGAGATAGAAGGATAGAGATCGGCTGCTGCCGAGTTATCACAGTATAGTTTTTTGTTGGTTAGTTATAAAGTTTTCATTTTTACCTATGACTTTCCAGACAATTCAATTGAAGTTTGCAGATAAAGAGCTAAACACAGCGCTAAATATTAGCCTAAAACAGCAAAATAATCAAACATTAGCCAAACAATAGCTAATAACAGAAAATTAGTCAGATTTGACTAACTGAATGCACAGCTAATCCTTGTAGCCAGAGGTCAGTTCAACAGGTGAAATTCAAGTTAATATATATTTAAATCTAAAAGCTAAGTTAGAAAACAAAATACCAAAAGTAGGTCACAACAAACACAGACATATATTTATGATGAAAAGCCAAAGGTCACGATAGTCAAGCATAAAGAGCAAAGCTATTTTTCCCACTTAGCGTTAGCTGTTTTTAGCAGAACAGAAAGTGTCAGTGTTGTTGCCTGTTTACTATTAGCTGTTTTTAGCAGAACAGAAAGTGGACTAAATGTCAGTATTGTTGCCTGTTTACTGTTGAATTTAGCAACATGGAGTCATTCAGTTCACATGTCGACATTGGTGAAGATTTCATCACAGTAACAAAGTTATTATCATTACCCCCCCACACATACACACAACAACAACAACAACAACAAACCCCAGTTTTCTCTGGCTCTCCACATGTGTTTCTTCTTCTGGACGACCGTCAGTCAACTCTCATTACTCTCTCTCTCCTCCAGTGGCGGTCTCAAAGACCACGACGTCATCATCTCCATCAACAGCCAGAGGATCTCAACAGCGACCGACGTCAGCACCGCCATCAAGCAGGAAGGAACCCTGAGTGTGGTGGTGCGCCGCGGGAACGAGGACGTTATCCTCACTGTTGCTCCCATTGAGATCGACCCTTGATGTTCCCACGCTTCACGTCACCGGGAGCTGGAGTTAGACTTTTCTTATCACCAGAGGACCTTATACTGGAGGGGACTTCTACGGACCCGCCCTCTCCCTGCGGAGAACGGCCAGTGGTGCCACACATTCTAGAAAATTCTGGTTTTGCCTTGAAAGGAACGACTGCACGGTTGCTGTAAAGGCGGCGTCGTACTCTGGTATTTTCCCCCGTCTGTTGTCACTCCTCGTCTCTTCCATTAATGCTACTGTGGGTCCACCATCATAATAAGTCGGTTATTGACGTATTCTTTTTATCTGCTCCTCGTGTTTCTTCTTCTTCTTCTTCTTCTTCTTCTTCTCTCTGCTCAGTGGACTCTCTCAGTCAGGCCGTGGGATTTCAGGCCTTTTACAACCGGGCTCGGAAAATCTGATTGGTTTAATTGGTTTAATTTTAGTTGTTTTCTCAACTCTCCTTCAAGTACTGTAGAATGTTACTGTTAATATTGTGCTGTATCCAGGAAAAAAAAATAAAAAGTTTGACCTTTTATATTAACACTCACCCTGCTGGATTATTCACTTTTCTATCTTTTTCAGGGATACACACACACGCACACACACACTTATGGCGATGGACTGCGTCCAAGATGACATTATGATGTAGCGTGCAGAGTTTCCTCCTGGCTCACAGACAGACACACGAGGGGGGAATAAACCTAATCAGGATCTGGTTTAAATCTGATTTTATTGACTTCACGTGGGCTTTGAACTGGTCTGTTGTGATTCGATTTGGTCTGGGGGCTCTGAGGGGGGGGGCAGAGGGGGCGACCTCAGAGACAGGAGTGCCAGCCAAACACGGATCTGAGGCACAGAATGGAGCAGCCCCAGATGTGAGGCCTGCGTGAAAACACTTCACTTTTGTTTACCACATGAGTGTTTGATCAAGTAGAACTCGTAAAAACAGAGGAGCCAACACATTGAAATGGTCCTTGACCACTTAACACGTTCACGTTCATGAAAACAACTGCACTGAAGCCTCGGCCTGGAAATATGCCCTTCACTGAGCTGGTCCACAAACCGACCCCCAGGCCTTACTTTGGACATCCTTGTCAAAAAGTTCATTTTAGTGCATAAAATATGGAAATTTGCATATTATCTTCCATAGACATGGGTTCATTTTAGTGCATAAAATATGGAAACTAATCTACATCTACTGCAGTATGTTATTATTCAGTACTTTATGTTACAGTTTTCACAATGATTTTCAGCTCATTCCTTTCATATTCTGTGAATTTCATCCCACCCCTCCAACATTCCCGTGGACCACATGCTACAGTAGCTGTAGCCCACAGAAAGACGTTCCCATGACATCGAGCGGCCGACCAGCCCCCATCATTATCACATATTATTTTAGGCCTACGAGACTACAGGATTTAAAGGATTTGAAAATATTTTTCTAGAATATAATTCCATTTGACACTCAAAGATCAAAGGTCAAGCTTTAGAGGTGAAAATAAAATGTGATTATTGCAGTTACTGCCATTTCAAAGTACTGCAGTAAAACTGCAGTACAGTATTTCAAATATGTAGGCCACTCCTGACACCTGTTTGTTTGTGGGGAGATTAAAGCGGGAAACATTTGTGGCCCACAAAATGCTCACTGGTCCACATGGAACCTGCTGGAAGAAAAGTCTGACGTCAAGTTGTGTAAGAGTGTGTTTATTTCACTTGGCAATTAAAGGCGATCCTGACTCATTTACTCGAAGGCAGTGCAACCGAGGCTTATTATGGTATGCAGATGTAGCCTGTGTTCACAGCTGTGATGTTTGGCTGTTCACGAAGGTGTGACCGTCCCAGAGCCATGACCTTCGCTCCATAACATCAGTCAACCGGGGCGCGGCCCCATTACCTCAGTCACAAAAACTACTGACATAAACACACACAGACGCCAGAATGCTTTTTGTCTAAATGTTGGTTTTTGCAAAAGAAAACCGAGACACCGTCAATTTATTTGATTACATGTGATGTGAAGTGATTTTTCTTTTTCACCACAGCGTGTGTTATGTAACAAAATGGCTGCAGATGACATCAATGGCTAAACTGAAAAGGTGTTTAGGCAATAAATCGAGGTAGTGCTAAAATGTAATCAAAATAGATTAGGTTCAGCCCAAGATTACTCTGGCTGGGATAAACATAGTTAAACGTGATTAAAATATATTTATAGATAACACACTGTCATCTCAAATTACTTTGAAGTTAGCAGAAAATGCTTAAAACAATGACAATGTTGCTAAAACGAAGCTTAAGTAAAGCTTAAGTAAAGCTAGGATAAACATGGCTAAAACCTCAACGCAAATTGGAAAGGTAAAACTAAAGCTTAGCTTAGGTATAATGTAGCTAAAACGTCATCAAAATAGGATTATGACGATTACAGGCTAAAGATAAATGGTATTAAATAAATTGTATTAAATGCTAAAGTAAATTAGCAAACATGAAAGTTAGCCAAGGAATAGCTAAGGCATTGAATAAAGTCAGTTTGAATAATTGTTAGCCAAATGTGTTTCTGAAGTTTAATAATAATACGACAATAAAATGTTTTAAGGTATTTTAATTACTTTATTTTTAGTTGCACTTTTATGAAATATACTAACTGTATGGGAATTTTTGGCTCACAGTTTCAACACAGCGAAACAGTTTAATAAATAATAATAATAATTTAAAAAATCAAAATACAGAGGAAAAATGACTTCGTGTTTGACTGTAGGTGAAGAACCGTTTTAGCGCTGTCCTCCAGCGCCCCCTCGCTTTCCGTAGTGTTATAGAGATCTTAACAAATCACAAACAATTTTGCAAACTGTGTTGAAACATTCCTGTCGCTGATTGGTCGGTTTACTACATATCGCACTGTGTTCACCTCCTGCCAGAGAACGAGGAGGGAGGGTTATTTTAATGGCGTCGGTTGCACTGAAAAATTCAAAATGTCCAGATTATACAAGATTTTAAAACCATAAAAGCATCACATGAGTAAAATGTTATTTTGTCTCGCGAAAACTACTGCGCTCATGATTTTAATTCGATCAATCGCGTGTTTGTAGTCTTGTTTTTTAAACGTTGAGCGGACTTTACCCGCTTCATTTGTGTGTCAGGCCTAGCCGGCAGGCTAACAAACAAGCGGACGAGGAGCTGAAGTGCCAGGAGTTTAAAGGTAAGTGTGTGCGCCATGGATTGACTGCACGTCCCAAACCTTCAAAAAGGGTGAATCTGTTCATTTATGCTATGTTTAAAATTTGGTATGCTTCAAATATAACGTAAAATGCCTACCGTTTGCGGTTACTTGCAGGTGTAAATGAAGGGCTAGCATTAGCTCAGTTAGCGGTGATGAGGATAACTATAACTTCATAACTTTGCAATCGGGAGTAGATTTAGCCGAAGTTAAACTATTCAGACCAATTCACTCTCCTAATAACATGACATCATATAAAATTGTAATCAGTCCTTAACTTAAATTAGTTTAAGTCTCCCATATTCAGTGTTAAACTGTATACGTTCAGCGAATTATGGTACTTGATTCTGGAGCTAGTTTGTGCTAACCATCGGATGACTTTGTAGCTAAATCCAAGTTCAAACAGACACAGTTACTCATGAGAATATTCATATACGACACGTCTACCCTGTTATGATGTTGGTTTACTCGGTATTTAAGGGATTAGTATGATTTGATGTTATTGTTATTATTCATAGGATTTAAGTGACTCGGTGCAGGGAACGTCTGCAGATACCTGTCGTAACTGGATGTATGTTATGATTTTAAAAATGTCGTCAATGTGTATTTTGTTTATTCCAAGGATTTGTCAGAACATATGATGTTGAATTACAACAAAAACATTACCGAAATGTATGTATTTTCGTTAAAAAAAACCCCACAACCATTCTTCTGCAAATTAGATTTGTAAATACCGTATTTTGACCAGAGTGGAGTCGCACAGGTGGAGCGGTGTGTCAGTGGACCCAACTGTGTTGATTTTTGTTTTTGTTTGTCAGTGGACCCAACTGTGTTGATTTTTTGTTTTGTTTTTTGTTCCATCTTTTTTTTCACAGGGAATGTGTAACACAACACATTCAACATGACTTCTAGATTTGGAAAAACGTACAACCGCAAGGGTGGGGAGGCTAATTCCAAATTTGAAGAGGTCTTCTCCAATAAAAGGCCCACACTCACGACCAAATGGGGGGACACCACCTACAAGGCTCAGCTGGGTGCCAAAAGGCCAGTGGGAAAAAGTGATGTTTCAGAGCTCTCTAAAAGGCCCAGACTTGACGACAGTGACTGCGAAGACGACCCATTTGGCTTTGACAGTGACGATGATTCCAAGACTGTGACTTCTCACCAGTCTCCTTTGAAAGTCAATGAGGAGGAAACAACAAAGACTGCAGCAGTGCAGCGCGTTGAGACGCCCAAAGCTGTGACGCCTGCACAAGGATCTACGAGCTCAGCAACCACTTTAATAAGTGAGTCAATAATGTGGTAATTGTTCCAATGCATCATTGTATTGAGGGCTTAAGAGAACAGTTTTTAATGTAACCAATTGTTGTTGTTTTTTTTTCATCATTTGTAGGCAAGCAGACAGTTGCAGAGAATGTTAAAAACAACCAGCCCTGGTACAAAAGTGTATCAGTTACAAACCAGAAACCTGCGTCTATGGCCCCAGTTACAAACACAGTCACAGACAGTCAGAACTCCTTGACATCCCAGATGCCCATCTTCTCCTCTCCCAGTGTCGACTCCCCTCTTAAAGTGTCTGCTGATGCATCCGGTGGTGACAGAGACTTGCAGACGTTTTCATCTAATGACGGACTGCCATCTGAAGGTATGTCAAGCTCAGAGCCAGAGGTCTCCACTGAGCCTCCACCAGAGCCAGTGGACAACATTCCCCCATCTCCATTCACTCTAAGGGCGTCCAACTGCAAGAAGTACCAGCGGC